GATTTTTCTTTGATTTGCTTATCAAATTTTTCTTTGCTATTTTTGTTTAAATTTTGTTATCTATCTATCTATCTATCTATCTATCTATCTATCTAATCTATCTACCTATCCATTATCATCATTATCATCATCACCATCTTTTGATCTATCGTCATTTATTTGTGTGTGTATTCTCGTGTGTGTGTGTGTATGTGTGTATGTGTGCATATGTGTGTACACAAATGAAGATCAGAAAGCAACCTGCAGGAGTTGTTGTCACCGCATATATTCTGGATATGGAAGTTAGGTCTTCAGGCCTGATAGCCAGTGCTCCGAGCCATCTCACTTCTCCTTCTTTCCTATTTCTTAATCAAAGCTGTGTTCAAGATTGAATTTTCTTTTGAGCTGCCTTAACTCTTGTCTTTTATTTATTCATTTGTTTTGCATGTGCATGTGTGTGCAGTGTAGTTCATGGACTTCATAGTTTACTATCAGATATTTTTCTGACGACTCTCCATTTTATTTGTCTAGGCAAGGACTCTTGCTGAACTGGGAGTGCACCAGTTCTGGCAAGTCCAGCAAGCCAGAATGCTGAGTAGATCCCTGTCTCTCCCTCGCAAGTGCTAGGATCACAGGAGGCTCTCACACCTATCCCTCTGGGAATCTGAACTCCAGATCTCATGCTTGAAGGACAAATGCTTTATACACCCAAATACTTTATTTCCTCAACCCATATTCCATTATTATTAATAAGATTTATTATTTTTATTTCCTGTGTATGTGTTTTCTGGATGTATGTATTCACGCTGTCTGCAAGTTTCTTTGGATGTCAATACCCTGCAGCCAGAATTATGGGTCGTTATGACTTTCCTAATGTCGGTGCTAGGAACTGACCTGTGGTCCTTTCAAGAACATCAAGCTTTTTAACCACTAAACCCTCTACAGCTATTTTATGTTACTTTTAAAGTTAAACTCTATAAATTAGCTTCATCTCTTTTTGTATAAAATGTTATGTCCAGATAATTGAGTATATAAGAAAGGGGGACTCTTTTAATGATGTTAACTTTTTTGCAATTCAGATTTTTAGAAATTAGAGTATATTGAACATAGATATTCAGTTTGGAATTATAAACTATTATAATAATTTTCTGGGGGAATAATAATGAAGAATGTATAGCTATGGTAATACGTTTTATATAATAGGTACCAAATGTTGATTTTATAAATGAATGTCACTTTTAGGCAATTAAGTATCTGGAAAATCATTAGTAGCAGTCAGAGAGTGATTTTTTTCCTCTTTATTATTATTTTGAATCATTTTCCCTTGCTCTTAAATGTGACAACTGGATCTAATTAAACAGTATAACTATAGATAATTTAAATGACTGCACAGATTTTGAGTCTCTCTGTACATGGCTTTAGAATCCTGTACTACATTTGCATTTACACTCTAGTCACATGTCATGAATATTATTAAGGGAGACACAGAAAACAGGAAAGCAGTGCTAATCTAGTGTTTACACTAAGTAACCATAACCAATTCTCATGATAACAAGTGGCTTATGGTACCCATAGCTCTTATTTTCACATAAAGATATTTCCAAGAGAAATAAACAAGGAATGAACAATTCCAGTTTTTTTTTAACCTGTAAAAAGTGACATTTTGTTTCATAAGGTAGTATAACAAATCAGTGTTCTTCTGCATAACAAAGATGGATGGTCATGTAAGGCAAATAAGAATGTTTTCAAATTAAAGTGCTATGAACTTGGCTCATTAAACATACATGGCCTTCAAAGGAGCCATCAATTTTCTTTGGGTTATTGTGGCAGCTACCTCATTTAATGAGAAGCTATACTCAGGCAACTGTTTGGCAAGTTTTTCATAAACTCTAGCACTTACAACTTTGCTGGAAAATATACCTGGCATGATTCTGATAACTCCTTGACAGATGCACAGTAGACAGAACTCAAACAGCAATCTGCAGAAACAGAGCAACGAACAACAAAAATGCTGAGCTATATGCAAACTAATAAATACTTTTTCTCCAGTCAACAGAGTTTGTGCACACTTGGTGTGTCTGTTTTACAACCTGAAGATTACCTTACTGCCCACAAATAACATACAAACTTTCCTAGATAGACTGTAATCCAAGCACAGGGGAAAGAAAAGAAGGCAACAATCCACTAACAGTCAGCTATGCATTGAAACTGTTTCAAAAATGAAAAGAAACAACAACAATAAATAAACAAAACAAATGAAACAAAAATGCCATCCACAAACTGATGAAGTCCTTTCTTAGATGTTCCCTGGTTTATAGATACTTGATTGACAGATCATTTCTCATATGTAATTATAATCAAGATGAATACAATAATTTTCTTTTTAAATAACTGTAATATCAGTCAACTCCATGCCACTGTGTAAAGTTGCTGATCATCATTCAACTTAAAAAGTAGTAAAAAACATTTAGGAAGAGGCAACCATAGCTAAAAATAGTTTTAAAATGACATGGACAGAGAAGATGACTCAGAACATTAAAGCATTTTCTGAAAAGCCTAAGGACCTGACTTTAAACTTTGGGGTTCATGTGATGGGGACCAAATACTACAGATTGCATTCTTGATCTCCATGCTCGTGCCATTGCATGTACAAACACAGGCAGAAGGAATGAATGAATAAACAGTAGTCAACAAAGACATAACCTGCATCATCAAATAAAGAGGAAACTAACTCAACTCTTTATAATTCTGAATATTCTGTAATCTAAAATGTTCATGTTTCTCCATGATTAAACATATAAAACCTAAACATAATGTGGGAAGCTCACATGAGCTCCAGATGATGGAGGGATGAATACTTTATATTCATTTACAAAACTAGGAGGCTGCCGTATCAAAATGAAGATGACTTATTGAGCACACTAAGAAAAAAATAGGAAGTCTTTTGCGATAAATGTGATCAAAGCCTAGTCTTTATTTGACTGTATTTGTCAGATAAGTGGCTTTTACATCACATAGAATATTAGAATAAAAACAAACATGAATAGTTTTACATATATTTAAAAAGGTAAGCTATGTGTTTTTATTTGCTTTCTGTTGCTATTATAAAACACTCTGACTAAAGCAACTTAGGAAAATGTGGTGGTTTGAATAAGAATGCCCCCTCTAGACTTATGTATTTGAATGAATAGCTATTGGATAGTGAAACTGTTTGAGAAGGATTAGAAGGATTAAGAGGCGTGGCCTTGTTGAAGAAGAGTGTAGCTGGGATGAGCTTTGAGTTTTCAAAATCTCAAGCCAGGCCCAGTGTCTCTTTCTGACTGCTGCGTACTTATCAGGATGTAAAGCTCTTAGATACTGTTCCAGTGCTGTGTCTGTTTGCTTTCTACTATGATTATTGTAAACTAAACCTCTAAAACTGTATGCAAGCCTCCAAATACATACTTTCCTTTAAAAAGTTGCCTTGGTTATAGTGCCTCTTCAGGGCAATAGAATAATAACTAAGACAGAAAAGAAAGGGTTTATTTGGCTTATTCCTGTAGGTCATTGTCCAGCATTGGAAGAAATCAGGTCACAAACTCAGACAGGAGCTTGAAAGCAGAAATCATGGAGTGATATTGCATGCTGACTTACTTTCAGAATCATGCTTAGCTACTTTTATTGTATAGCCCAAGATCATGTGTCCAGGGGATGGTGACCCCCTACAGTGAACTAGGTCCTCTTATATATAAAAACAATCAAGGCAATCTCCCACAGACCTACCCCCAAAACAATCAGATCTGTATAGTTCTTCAACTGGAGCTCATTTCTCAGATGATTTTAGGTTTTGATAAGTTAACAGTTAAAGCTAATCTAGGACACCAGAAAAAACAAACAAACTTTTTTTTAAACAATCCAAGTTTTTCCAAGGAAAAGATAGGTAACAATTATCATCAAGAAAGACTTTGACTAAATGAGTTTTAATATTTTCCAGAAAATACATGACAGTTGCTGAAGTTTTGGACTATATATCCTTGAATCTAGAAGTCATTTGTACCTGAATCCAAATAACCACTTGGCACATACTCTTGCATAAGAGTTCAAGTAAAACATGAGGCTATATAGTGTCCTGTTAAGTCTCTTTTCCAGTAATTTTGTTACTATAATTACTATGAGGCACTGATAAGGTTTTACATTAATTATTACAAATAAAATTCCATGCTTTTAAGTATAACAGCAGAAATTAAGTAAGAGGCTATTAGAATATTCACCCTCCATCCATTTTTATTACTTTTTTTTTAATCCCTCATGATCAATTTGTGATGCTCAAATATTCCTGGACATACAGTCTTTTATTGGAGAGTGTTTGAGTTATCAGGGTCTATACTTGTAGAGAACGATGTCCCTGCCTCAACAGCTCATAATTGCTAGCAGCATCATGACTTGTGGTGGAACTGTGTGTTCAACTCCATTTACATGCTTAGATGGGATGGTCTGGCTTGGGCTTGCACAAAACAAGTGACAGACTCAAAGAAATGATGATGATGATGATGTAATAGTGGTAGTAGTGGTGGTAATGGTGATGATAAGCAAGTCTGTCTCATAGTGATAAGATATATATATATATATATATATATATATATATATATATATATACACATATATACACACACACACACATATATATATATACATATATATGTATATATATATATACACACATTTCATATGTGGAGTTTAGGCAGTGAGCAGCGCATGGATGTATGAGAAGTATTAGGACTGTGGAAGGGAGAAAGGATGGAGGAATATGGCAGATAAGAAATGGTCGTAGAGGGCTCAATACATTCAAAGTGGATCAGCACACTATTGTGTAACAAGATATTTGTGTGAAATTTGTTACTTCGTACAATTAATATATGCTATTAAATAAGTACATAAAGTTAGATAAGTCCAGAGAAAGTACCATTTCATCATGAATGAAAAAAGGGCTCTGAAGAGCAGGCCTGCACTGTACACTGTATCCTCTCAACTCCCTTGTCCAGAAGCACTGGAAACATAGCCTGGCAAAGTGATCCACAGTTACAAAGTATGTGCTGAGCGTCAAGGACTTCAAGAGAGAAAAATGATGTGAGCATGTCTCATTAGTAATTTTTATACAGCTACCTGTCAAAATGTTACTCATCTGGATGTACTAGGTTAAATTAAACATTATCCAAATGAAAAGACTTATTAATTTTTGATGAGAGAAGGATTCTTTCTTCCTTTATTTTTCACCTTTGCCAAATTTAAGATGATGTCCTCTTTTGGTCTAATATAATTCATTTCTACTGTTTACCTTACAGTATTTGAAGGGTAGGCATAGTTCCTGTTTCCAAGATTTAATAATAGACGCTTGTAAAATATATATCTTACTAATTGTTAAGATATTCTTATATTTTTGATAAAGCTGAATTAAATTCTATTCCTACTGTGTTTTGTTTACTAATTCCTATACTACACAGCATCCAGTCCATGAAAACCACTCTGCTTTTCAGTTCACATAGATCTATTAATCACTATGATTTTATAAAGAACTGTATTCAGAGACCCAGGGTAGAACCAAACATGGCTGGCAAAACAAAAAACAAAAAACAAAAAACAAACAAACAAAAAAACAAAACAAAAAAACAAAGAAGAGTCCAACAATGAAATGAGTCCTAATGATACTCTGCTATACTAGTAGATTGGCGCCTTATCAGAGAGGCTTCCTCTAGCAGCCGATGGGAGTGGGGGCACAGACTAACAGCCAGATATTATGCAGAGAAAGAACTTAAATTAGAAGTCTTCTCTGCCTCTGGCACCACCGAGACCAACAAAACTTTGCCACAGATATGGGGAAGGACCCTCTTACCTTTAAAGGGAATGGCCCAGACCCAGTTCCCTTATGGGGCCGAGGATTGATATGCCTGTCTGATACCACAGAAGGCACAGCTAACCGGCTACCAAAAAGATTAATGAAAAAAAAATAGATACCCCCACAAAGCCAGGCCCAACCATAAATACGATGAATAACAATTTACACCCAGGGAAGAGAAATCTCCCTGAGAATCCCCTTCTTTTTCCTTTCCAGGTAAAAATGAATCACCCGTGATGTCTGCTGTTAGAAGTTCTAATCCAGATGCTGGCCTCCGAACTTATACTACTCAGACCTTTGAAGGGCCACTGACAAGAACATCAAACAGCTAGAGATTGACATCACTAATCTGAAGAAATCCCTCGTTTCGCTGTCTGAAGAGACCTCCTAAAATCGCAAAGATCCTTATTGGACTTGATTTACTCTATTACAATAGAAAAGGCTTTGTACAGCTCTGGACTGTGTACAGCCTTTAAAGAAGGTTGCCTTTACATAGACAAGACAAGGAGGGTTAAAGAGAGCATGAAATAGGTAGTGAAGGCCCTAAGAAAAATCAGAGAGAGAAAGAGACAGATGAATACTGGTACAAGAATTGATTTTCAGCCTCTCCAAGGTTGTCAACCCTAATCCTCCCATCTTGGGACCATTATTTGGGTTCTTTTTGCTTTTTTCTGCTGGTCCCTGGCTCTCAAATAGGTGGACTAACTCTGTGATACAACAGATAAATAATTTGGTAGCAAAACCTACTCAGATACATTATCATAAGTTAGCTATGGAGGACCATGAGACTCAAGATGAGGTTGTTACTTTATACAGGGTGTTCCCAAAACCCATCTCCACCCAACCTAAAAGGGGGGACTTCTGGCCCTAGACCAAGCAGAGAGGGGCCACCCAGAACCCCCTCTGACAGGCGATCTGAATTCTTGCTTAGGCTGCGAGGCTAAGCACTGCAAGGGAATATAAATAAAAGATAAAAATATCTATCTGGGTTCCCTGAGGGACAAGCCTGACTGCATAGGGGTTGATGTCAAAAGTATCCCCTCTCCAGGAAAAAGACATCGGGATGGGTATGACCCTCATGCCTCACTGGACAACACCAGGGGGACTGGAGCCATTACATGGTCCCCTTCAAATACTGGAGGTGAGGCCTCTATCCCCACCTTCACAAGTTTAGAATTGCCACAGCCCTTCTATACTTAGAGAAGGGAGGAGATGTCAGGGGCAGCCCTGCTTGCACACTGAAGGCCTAAAATCAGCCATAGGCCTAAAATTAGGAATAGGCCTGTCATAAATGTATACTAGCACCAAGTCTTGTGTCTCACTGGAAAAACATCGAAACAGATGGCTATAAGCTAATGTCAACAGGCAGCTTTTGTGGAAAGGTACAAGCCTGAGTAGTCATAGACCTTGTAAATAGGTAGCCTTGGCAGACAATACCAACTTAGATAAGGACAAGTGAGTCATAGGCAGAGTCACAGTGACTTGTCCCCTGAACCTTCACCCAGCCGATACCTGGTTCTGAAGATATCTGTATTCCCCCTGACCACCCACATTCCATCGTCATTCCCTTCCCCACATCCTGCCTTTCTGTGTTTATAACCCCTGTGTGAATGAATTATAATTTGAGAAAGAATAAATTATAAAAAAAGAAATTCATAAAAATATCAAACATTAGTCATTGTTTCAGCTTTAATTGTAGGAAATTAATGATGTGAGAGTTTTGGAAGGAAAGTATAAATGAATAAATTCCTTATTTCCTCCTGAAAAAAAAATTAGAAGTCTTCTTGGTTCCCTCCTCTCAGAGATCAGGGAAATCTGCTGAGGAGAGGGAGGAACATTGTAGAAATCAGAGGGGATGGAAGACACAAAGAGAACATGGTCCACTGAATCAACGAAGCAGGACTCACATGGACTCACCAAGAATGAAGCTGGTAAGTATTGGACTGCGTGGGTCTGCACCAGGTCATCTGTGAATGTGTTATGGCTATTAGCTTAGTGTTTTTGTGGGACTTTTAACAGTGGGACCAAGTACATCTCTGATTATTTTGCCCCCTTTTGGAATTCTTTTCCTCCTGTTGGGTTGTCCAGCCTCAATATGAGGGCCTTTGCCTTGTCTTATTGTACCTTGTGTTGTCCTGTTTGGCTGGTTACTCTTGGAGGCCTGCTTTTTTTCTGAAGAGGAAATGAATGGGGAGTGGATCTGGAGACAAGGGATACAGGGGAGAGCTCAAAGGAGTGAAGGGAGAGGAAACTATGGTTGGGATATATTGTATGAAATAAGAATCTATTTTCGATTTCAAAGAAAATGGAATTCTTTTCTACAACAGATCACCCATGACTGTTATGATTAGCACTTTTGGCTTGCATCCCACTTTTTTGATATCAAACTAGACTCTGTTTCTTGTCTATTTGCATCTGGCAAACATACTTTAGTCCATCTTGTCATATTTTCACCTGGATCACATTTTCGGAGATAAAGTGGTGCTTATGTTATGTAGCTATAACTGCTTTTTTTTTCTGAGTTCATACTTAATTCTTGTCACCTAATCCTATAAATCTCTGGAAGCACACAGTCAAAGAAAATTCCCCTGTGGTGTTTGTCACTACTTTCTATTGCTATTAGGATTATTTTACTGTTACTATTATTTGAGTATCTTATTCTTCAGCAGTTTCTTAACTTTGGCCTGTATTTTCTGTTTATATTTCTGAAATACCTTTTCTTTGAAGAAATATCTGGGTTCCTCTTATTGAATCCACTGGTAATCACATGAAAACGAAACACAATCAAGGTAGTAGAGACCCTTGTTGAGATCAATAGGACATCAATAGAATAGCTTTTATGCCAACGTTGGATCTCTCAAGGTGCCTCCTCCAGTGGGATTAGATCTCTGATTATTTTAGCAAGAGAAGATGCCAAAGTTTTCTGTTCTAATCTGTTTTACTCCTTGAACACATGTTAGGAGATATTACAAGTTATTGTAAATTTAGCACTCTAACAGTAGATAGCAGAGTTTGGTGATAGTTGGTAAAACTGTGGCTTGAAAGAGTTAATTCATACAGGGTGAGAAAGAAGCTGTTTCTTTATGACCACAGCTATATGTGACTTCTATATGTGACATCTCCAACGCAGAGGTTTTGCAGAAGAAAATGCACCAAGACAAAAAAACAACTGAAGCACCAATTGCCACTGACAAAGTTTAAGGTTAAAGATATTTTCTTGATAAATTGCCTTTCAAGATGTTTTGTCTATGCTGTGAGAAGTACATAGTTCTATTCTCTTATGTTAAAATGAATACTTAACTCTGCCATAGTCAAAATGCTTGCAACAGTGGAATTTCATTCGTTATGAGAGCCTATCAATTTAAGTATTTGTATCCATAATGACATTCTCGTTTTGACATATTGATGTCAATGGGATGTTAATTTTTGATGTTTTCATCCTTTTGTCATTTAATTAATTGTTCCTCCATAATTTAATTAAATGAGTACTGTCATAAGACTAATTATATCATATCTCTGAATGACATGATCTGTGAAATGATTTTAAAATATGTTGTTCTTGCTTCATTTTGCCTGGGGGGAAGTCCTGATAGGAAAGGACACATTGATATTGTAGTGCATATAAATATACTAGGAGGGCTTCTTTGAGTATGGATTTAGTTACTTTGTAGAGATTAGGTTCTTTAAAAAACTATCAAGGGAGGGAATGGGAAATACAAAATATAAACATTGACTGTTTTCAGGATGTTTAAATGTTATTAACTAAGGGTAACTTGGATACTTAATACATTCACCCTCTCCCAGGAAATGCTGGGATCACTGGACTTTGTTTCATTTTTATTCAAGTTACAGTTAGCTGGTGATAAGAAATGGGCCCATCATTTCATTTTTTTTATCTTGAAGTTTTTACATGTATATATACTTAAAGATTTATTTAGTATTTATGCATATGTGTTTATGCCTATAAGAGTTTATGGTCATCACATGTGTGCAATGTCCATGGATTTCATAGGTAATTGGATCTCCTGGAACTGGAGTCACAGGTGGTTGTGATCCACCTTGTGTGGTTGCTGGGAACAGAGCCTGGATTCTCTGAAGGAGTAATAACTGTCCTTAACTGCTGAGCCATGTTTTTAGCAATCGCTTATGTTTTATTCAGATCTTTTTTGAGACAAGTTAGTGTCTGTAAGTAACAATTTATAACTTCAAATTATGGAATTGCTTTGAGAAAGAGTTAAGTTATATAAAACTTGCAATTCAGAACCTGGTTAAAAAGCTATATTTTGTAACAAAGGAATGGTGATAATGTTACTTATTTTCCTGTTTAAGAAAGCAAGTCTGGCAACAAAAGTGGGAAAACCATCCTAAAGCACGTTATAATATGTATTACTTCACATAATCTCATATGTGTTGGGGAGGGGCTTGTGACTGGTTAGAACATTTAAAATCTACTCTTAATGATTTTTAAGTGTGTAATGAATTATTGTTAACCATAGTCACCATATTGTCTTGTGGATCTCTTGCAGTTTTTCCTTTAGTCTAGCTCAAAGTTTATACTCTTCCACCAATCTATCTTTCCAGTACTCATCGACTTATCCTTGCAATAACTATTCTACTATCTGTGAGTTTATTGTAGCTCCTACACTTGGGTATGAACATGACATATTTGTCATAGTCTCCGGCTTATATCTCTATACAGAAATGCTCTCAAGTTTGATATCTGTTTTAGGGTTAAATGATAATCATATCTGTATCTGTATATCACATTTTGCATGTCTATTGATCTATTGATGAACACTTAAGTTACTGTTGAATAATGCTTCAATGAATATTAAGATATATATGGCTACTAAAGACAGTTATTTTGCTAACAGCCTTCAGGTGAAAATGTAGAACTCTCAGCTCCTCTTGCACCATGCCTGCCTGGATGCTGCCATGTTCCTGCCTTGATGATAATGGATTGAATCTCTGAACCTGTAAGCCAGCCACAATTAACTGTTGTCCGTATAAGAGTTACCTTGGTCATGGTATCTGTTCATAGCAGTAAAACCTTAACTAAGACAGCCAGGAATCCAGAGGTGCCTGGGTTAGGAACATAGGGTTGAATCTAATAGGATTGACAATAAAATTAATGAAATAAATAAAGACAGTTATTTGAAGTCTTTGAAGTAATACCATTATTGGATTATTTGATTGTTTGTTTGAGGGATGTCCATATTGTTTTTCTTAATGG